GTTTGTTATCTAATTTAGGTCGTATTGACAACACTACTCCCAGGAAGAAATATGTAACTAAAATGTTTCTTTGTTTTAATACAAGTCCTCCTAAAGAAACCAGTCTCAAAGAGTATGTTGACTTTTGAAATCAAAGAAGAGGTTTGAAAGTAATTTTTTAAAGTTTAGGGTATTTCTTTTTTTATCTTTTTTTCAAAAGGAAATAACCATTGCTGTATTTTCAAAAGTCATCTTTAAACCTTCATCACTAGCTAGTTCTTACAATTCTCTTTCTATGAAACAGTGGATCCCGTACATTATAAACTTTGAGTCATGGTAGATAAAGTAACCTTGAAATAGTGACTGCTGTTCAGTAAAACTAGTCCACTGATCGTGAACTTGGGTAGCATGGCCCTGCCAAATGGTGACAAATGTTTTAATGCTTCCTCTCGATGTCTGTGCTTATCTCACTGAAGACTGGTAGGTTTGGGGCCCGGCAGCCCCTTAACCACAGTTTGTGTAGCACTGCTATGGAGCTTCTCATTTCTAAACCAAACGATTAGGTTTTTCCATCATCTTTCATGGGAGGTTGTGGTTCCGAGATCCTCGGCCGTTCTGATGACTCTTCTCTAGAAATGCTCCTCTTCCCACGTGCCCCTTAACATGTGGCATTTAAAACCCAGGCTTCTGGTCATGCATCCTGAAGCCGGCGACTTCATATGGTGGCCGTGTCACGTGATCGACTCACGTTAAACTCAAGTCCGCTACAACCTTCAAAGCGATGGATAGTAACTGCCATTAAACCAAGTCTGTTCTATCCTGCACATCCTGTAGTTGATTTTTAAAGTTAGGGTCTTCAAATTTCACTTCATGAAATGTCATCTTCTTAGCAGGTCATCTTTCAGATCTGTGAAGATCTTTCCACATCTCCGCATCGCCTGTCTCTAACAACGATAATTAGTTTTTTCTTGCATTTTAAGGTTTACATGGCATTTTCACATATACTCTCATTTGGTTCTATCGATAGACAACGCTACATGTGTACTATTATCATTTCCACTTTACAGCTGAGAAAAAGGGTGACTTGCTCAAGATCCCTTAGTGAATTACCGTGTCATCTTCACATTTTAAAAACAAAGAGGTCTCTTGGCTCATTGACGTTATTCTTAAAACAGACATAACTTTGAGGCATCCTCCAGAGAAAACCCTAGTTGTTTTTGGTCCTTTGATCTACTCTTTGGTGAATTTACTCAGCCAGTTACTAACGAAACTCTGTAGCATCCAACACGGGCAGCCATCTCAGCCACAGTGATGTCGGGAGAGCCTTTGTCAGTTCCTTGGCTGAAATCCAGACACTCTATGTCCATTTTCATGATTTACTAAACCATTGAGATAGGAGAATTAAGTTAGTTTGGTGTTTCTTTTTCTCATAAATCTGACTCCTCTTAGAGATTTCCACTCTGCATTTCTAAATATTCAAACTATTTGTTTTAGCTTCAAAAAAAAAAAAAATCATCAAACTGATGAAATCTGATCACTTCTTAACCAATAAGTACACTTCCACAATTATTATTGGGTAGTCTGCTAGATGCGACATGCCGGGCCCTGAGTGTATAGAAAAGTTAAACTCTAATGCAGTGTGTTTTTTATACTGTGGATTATGGCCAATAGATGGGTTGTCAGGTGAATTTTTTTTTTTTTAAAAAAAGGAAACAGACTAAATTATATTATAAAATGTCAGAGTGCAGCTAAGTGAAATAAGTCAGACGGGGAAAGACAAATATCATATGATTTCACTTACATGGGGAATTAAAAAAATATATGAACAAACAAAACTGAAACAGGCTCAAAGGGTGGGGGGTGGGGGATGGATGAAAAAGGCAGAGAGGAATGAGAGGCACAAACTTCCCATTATAAAATACGTAAGTCCTGGGGAAGTCATACACAGCCCAGGGAAAACAGTCAACAATATCATAACTTTATACAGTGACAGATGGTGACTAAACTTATTGTAACCAGATTGTAATGTATATAAATGTTGAATCACTATGTCGTATACTTGAAACTGACATAATGTTGTCAACTACACTTTAATAAAAAAAATCAGAGTGCAAACAAGGATAATAGCATTAATTAATTAATTAATTAATTAATTTAGCATAATATGTATGAGTGCCTTGAGTGGTGATGGGAAATGTATTTCTCATTGCACATCACTAGCAATACTTTCAAAGATCCTTCACTAGAGGAAAACGAAAGATACGGAATCAGTCAATACCCTTTGGGATATACTGTGATAATTTTATGTGTAAGGAGCTAAAGGAGAATGGGTGTTTTTTCTTTTGTTTTGTTTTTTGTAGATTCTTGCTTTGGTTTTCGTTGGTTTGTTTTGGTTTAAACAATCTAAATACTGAAAAATTCCCCTGAACTGTCTGCCTGTTTTTCCAGGAGTTCACCACTTTTCACATGCCTTGGTCGGGCTGTAAATATCTTCCTGATGCCCAGAGCGAATATAATAAGCTCTCAGAGCCTCGCAGACAGGGGCAGGCTTTCCATTCCTAGTCCACAGTGCCCAGCTTGGCATCTTTTCTTAACCAAAATAAAGGAGTCCTTATCCAACTAGTATGTGATTTACTAGCATCGGTAACCTAGCTTGGACTAGCTTGACAGAGCTCATTGGAACCAACACGACATAGTGTAGTTTCTATTTTAAAATATCTATGGTTTCTTTAAAAGCATATACTTTTACTTTCTCAAAAAACTATTTGCCAAAAGGGCTCTTTCAGAATGTTTACTTAATATCGACTTCCCCTCACTAGTTTCCTGAAATGTGATATGAAAATGCAAAACTCAACCTTCAACCCATTATGGTGCCTGATATATAATGACCCTCAGATGTTGGATGTTGTTGTATCAATCACAGGGAAAAGGAAAGAGGAAATGCTACAAAGAAATATAATTTGGAGTCATCATCCCAGAGTCTTACGTTTTTTCCACTTGTGCAAATTTTTAAACTCTTTTGCCAAGGCTTTGTACAACTTTTAAAACTCAAAGCGAATCTCCCACAGTGACCCCAAAGCCATGCAATTCTCCGTCAGTGCCTTGGTTTTGTACTTTCCTCCACCCTACACTTGAATTTAAATTTGTCATTTAGTCCAACCCATCTGATCTAGATTTTCAAGAAATAAACAAGAATGGGCGCATCCCAGCATTTACTGACTGAGCATCTGTTTACTTTTCCTTGAAAACCAACTAAATTGCAAAGTTAAGGTGGATGTTAGAAATATAAAAAGATAGATAAGCAGTCTCAGATAGGCCACAGATAAACAGTTGAACAAACACCGGAAAACAACAAACAAATACTAAACACATGATTTCATTTAATCCGCCCAGGGAACCCATGAGGCGGGGCCTGTTTTTAGACCCATTTTATAAGTGACAGAAACCTTGGAGAGAGTAAACAACTTGTGTACAGTCACATAAGCATCAGGTGGCAATACTAGCATTGGACCTGGGGCTTAGAACCAGATGCCTAAGTAAAATAAAGTAAACTGAACTCCGTCAACAAAAAATGATTGAGCGGTTACTATGAACTTGGCTGTGGGGAGGATGTAAGGGTGAAGAAAACAGAAACACAGGCCCTACTCTTGATGAGCTTACCTGTAACGATTGAGAGCCCTGTATTGTGGTGGGAGCTGACATTGTCCTGAGAGTATGTGTGACAGTAAAGGGCTAATCCAGATGCTGCAGGGAAGACAGAGGTCATTGCTTAGAGCCTCCGGGGAAGGTGTCAAAAAGAATGTGACATGTGAGCCGAGTACCCAAGAAGGGTCAGGCGTCAGGGAAGGACATTCTCAACAGCGGGCCATGTAAACGTCCTTTTAGGCTCTTAATCCTATACAGAGCTGGGTGTTGGGGGATGGTCATGGCCCAGGGGGCAGAGTGCAGGGACATGGGGTGAGCTGCAGCTGCAATGAGGCAAGAAAAAGAAGTACACTGCAGTCGGGGTGAAAGGGCGCTAGAGCCACACTGAAGACGGTTTTAGGAAGGCCGAGGGAAGCTGACGGCTTTTAAGCTGGAAAATGATGTGATCATATTGGGATTACACTGGGGAAAGCTGTCGAGACGGGGAAGACGCTGGACATAAGGAGTCCAGCCGGGTTTCGACTGTAAAAGACCCCGACAGAGGCGCCAAGGGCCTGCACAAAGGGAACAGGAGCAGATACAAATGAAGGTGCAGATTCGAAAAATCACCTGAGTTGGGCCTCGGTCATGTGCGTGGTGAGGAGGAGGAAGGAGCCAATGACTCAGTTCATCCTAGAAGGAAGTTATCATTTATACGCTCTAGGTCAAGGTCTGTATTGGGCTGGTGGGATTTGCAAAGATAAACAAGGTCATCCTAGCAGAGCAGGCTGGATGGGACTGTCCTCAGCTCACCATCTCTAGAAGGGCTCCCGAGTTTCTATTTACAGGAATTCAGTAGATAATATTGTTGTTAATTTATATAGGGAACAGATGATGAGAATCATGTTGGGGAGTCTCAGGGAAGGGGTGTCAGCTCTGAGATATGTTGACTTTGAGGATCGGGAGAGAGAAGCTGGAAATAGGTCCTGGGGCTCAGAGAAGGGGTTTCAGAAAAGAAGTAAGTGCCTTTCATGGCAGGATTAATTAAGTTTCTGCGTGAGGAAGAGAGCCTAAAACAGGTGTTTTAGATTTAGACTGTCCAGTCAGATGGTAATTACACCATCTTTGTGATCCATGGAGGAAGTCATAGAGGAAGGAGCGATTTGGAGGCTATGACAATTCAGAGGAAGAAAACATGGCAGATTGGGAGTGGGAGGACATGCTCCAGCCACCTGGGAGGAAGAGGGTCGTGGGTGACGGTGGGAGCGAGAGTGAAGGTGCCCAGGGGACCCCGAGGGCGTGTGAACGGAGGAGGGGTGGCCCTGCGCCTGCGCGACCCCGGCGACCCGTGTCACCCCAGCCACCTGTCAATGCGCGTTCTCCTCGATGTTTTTCAGGGTGACGACTCGGACGAAGAAAACCTCTGCATCAGTAACAAATGGACTTTCCAAAGGACCAGCCGCCGGTGGTCTCGCGTGGACGACCTCCACACGCCGTTCCCCTCGGGGGACGTCAGGATGAGAAACACGACCAGCAGTGAGAGTGTCCTCACGGACCTGAGCGAGCCCGAGGTCTGCTCGGTCCACAGCGAGAGCAGCGGCGGCAGCGACGGCGGCGGCCCGCC